GTCAATAAATTTTGTAAAGATATTTTATTAAATGTTGTGGAAAATATTAAAGTTGAAGACAAAGTTTTTTTTAGTCCCTCTAAAATCTTTGATTTAAATTCAACATCATCAATATCGTCACATGATAGAAATTTTTGTTGGTTATCGATTTCTGACGGTTACTTTGCAGACGAATCACAAACACAGGATCAAGGTATATTCGAAATCTTGGCAGATTTAGGATTTCTTGTGATCAAAGTTCCTAGTGACATATTGACTGTGTTGAAAGAATCTAAAAATGGATCTTCGATTAAATTCTATTCACCCAAGATTGTAAAGCTTTTCTTCCATGAAAGGAAATATTTGCTGAATGATCTTCCAAGAGATGAAATTCTCATCATATTTAATTATATTTTGGATGATGATGATTCAGATTATTTAGATGGATTAAAAATGATTCCGTTATCTGATGGATCATTAGGTACAATTTCAACGGCATCATCAAATCAAGGGGATGAGGATTATTATTATATTGGTCCTGACAATGATCAAGAAATACTTGAATATGATGAGAGAAAGGTTTTTAAAAACCATTTAGCCAAATTCATCGATAAAGGAATTTCATCAGAATTATGGAATAAATTATACAACAATGCAGAAACGAATCGTCATGGAATCAGCAATATTAAAATTTTGAATGAAAGTGTAGTTGCTAAAATGATCGAGTCAAACTTGGTTAATTCTGTTAATTATAACGAAAAATACGATGAGATAAGAATGCATAAAAATGATAATGATCAACGCGAATGGATTTATCAGTTATGGGGGAACTTATTGTATAGAGAAATGTTTGAATTTAAACATTTTGAAAATCTTCATATTTTACCAACTAATGATGATAATATTAATATTACTTTGAGAAAATTAAAAACTATTCAAAAATGTTTTTGTTATAGTGGTAGGAAAACCGAATCATCTGAAGAAATAATTATCATTCTTAAATCGTTTGGACTTGTTTTTGTTGAAAAAGAATTCAATGAAAATTTTGCACCAAAAGAAACCAGATTAAAAAAATATGTATTCAACATCACAGATGTAGTAGCAGTATTAAAGTCATTGAAATCCAATAGACAATATCCAAACAATTTATTACCACATCAATTAAATAAACAAAATTCTCTTTTATTTTCAAAATTATTTAGCAAAATATTTGAAAAAATATACCGGACTAGATCAGTTATTGCTAGAACCTAAAAATTATATTATCGAAGTTTTAAAATATCTTCCTATATATAGTGAGGTAGATGAAAATGACAAATTGATTAATTTGATTGGAACTAATAAACAATGGTTTCTTCTACCAACAGAAGATGAACAATCTTATGGAAAAATTATTGTGCCAAAAAATAAAGATGTATTTTTACATGTTGGAACTGATAGTAGTGACAGTTACAGATATCTTCTTGAAGATGTAATCAAAATTCCACGTCTACAGCATGTAAGATATTGGAAGGAATTTGTTTTACCATATTTGGAAAAACGTAATTTTGATGAAATTAAATTAGTTATCAAAAGACTTTTTGAAGTATCACCTGTACTTATGAGAAATGATAATGAGTTTAAAGAGCAATTATCAGAGACTAAATTTGTACCTAGTGGATCGATATTGATGGTCCAAGGAAAAGCAGCAGGTGATGATAAAATTGTATTATCTAAACCGAAGGAACTTTACGATCCAGAGCTTCTAGAATTCTTCTTTGATGATGAAAAACTGTTCCCAATTGGTGATTTTATTATATCACCAAATAATAATAACAATAACGATAGTTATCATAAAACAATAGCTCAATTAAGTAATGGTTTTCTTTATGAATTGGGATTAAAACGTTCATTATCAATTAATGACATATCTGATCGAATAAAATCTTACTGTGGTCATAGAAAAAATGCTGATAATGAGAAATTGGAAATTGTACACAAAAAATCTTTAAGTTTTCTGAAACATATTGACAGGATATGGGGAAAAAAAAAGACTCATGAACAGAAACCCTAAAAGGCATGTCAATAGGGAGTGGCAGAAAACAAAATAATCGACCAAGTGCTTGCTGATCATCTAAACAAACAGCCAATCCGACATTTGGAACAAATTTGTATTCTCCAATGTTTCTTTGAAATCGCTCCGTGAAATATTTTTCTGCTTTATAAAGATTATCTAGGTAATTTAGAATCAACCATTTTTGAATTTTTGGCTTGCTACCCTTTTTGTTAACACATTTACTAAATTCGGCAATGTATGCTGGTTTCGAAATACTGGTGTCAACTCGTTGCTTATGATCTTGAAAAATTTTCATTTGTTTGATGATTTGTTCGACAACTAATCGACGTTGACTTCTAACTTCATCAGCATTTTTTAACTCGATTTTGTATAACAAGTCAGGTTTCACAGCACCTTTTTTAAATTCATAGAAAGAAATGGTTTCGATGTATTTCAAGAAAAGTAAACAATTGACACTTTCTTTTTGATAAAAATTTTCAAACATTTCCAATATTTTCTTTGGACTATAGCTTATTTTAGAAATATTAGAATCAATAGAATCTTGCTCAGTTCTTAGTGGATAACGAAAAATTGTTCCATTGAATGGTTTGTTGAATTTAATGTTGCCAAAGGGCTTTGAGAATGGCAAAATTTGATCGTTATAAAAATTTTGCAAATCATCTTCAACGAAATCATAAACACGCCCTCCTTCGAAATAATATTCATGTGGGTCAAGAATCACATACTTCTTATCAGTAATAAATGAAGGAGAATCGGTTATATGATAAATTGAATTGAAGCCAACACCCATAACTAGTATTAATAAAATAATTATTATTTATTTATTGAAAATCAGATAAAATTATATTTTATTAACTTACCTCCAATTTTGTCAAATTGATCACGCTTTTCACTATCAGCCAACTTCAATAAAGAGGAAAAATCTCTTTCATCAAAAATAGTATCATTTTTTGATAGCAAAGCAGGTCCTTGATAACGTTCAAGTTTTAAATTTTTTGTTTTACAGTTAGACAATAAAGGCTCAAATAATCGAGTCGACGGATAATTATTATAGTCGAGAATAAATATTTGTTCAGTGCTTTTAGCATCATCAGAATTCTGAAGAATTTCTCTGAGAATTTGGGAACCATCTGGATAATCTTCAAGAATTCTTTTGATTCTATTAGTGTACGGCTCTCGAGGTTTGAAGGCTATTCCAATAGGTTTTTTTGACATATTGTATTTTTTTTTTTCAAAAAATTGCGTAAGAATGCTGTTTATTTAAATAATTTATTTAAGTAATATTTTTAGAAGAAAAAAGATATGAAAAATAATTTATTAGGAAACAGTAACAATACTTGTATTCATTTAATATTAAGACAAATGACTTATCCCAGTAACATGTTTCATAATCAATATCTTAATATTCTATTGAATAACCCAAATAAAATCAAAATGGAATGAATGAAAAAGTTACAATTTAGGGAATATATAGTTTGATTAAAAAAAAAACCTGTTTTTTTTCGTGTTTTTTATTTTTATTTTTGTTATCAAATTTGGTAAACAAATTTCGAGACTATTAAATTTCGTGCAACAAATTTTTTTTTTTAATATGAAATTAAAATAGAATGAATGTCCACTTTGTCTAGTTTAGCCTCGTATATAATAATAAATTCATTATAGGAATCCAGAATAGTGATTAAGCCTGAATTAAATGTTTTCAATTTGCCTGAGAGCGATAAAAAAAAATAAGTTTTAATTTTACTACTTCGTCAAGAGCTTTTAATCGACAAAATGGCTCTTGGTGAGAAGCCGCCTTTAGTCGCGTCAATGATTAAAGTCAAAAGTTTTGTCATTACCTTTGATTAAAGTAAAAACCTTGACTAAAGTGAAGGACAGTCGATTAAATAAAAATTCTTGACTAATGATGTATGTGATGTATGACGATATTTTTTACTTTAGTCGTCGAACGTGACTAAACTATTGACTAAAGTACTGACTAAAGTTGGTTTTTTACCAAAGGCTATTTGACGATTAAAAAATTGATGAATGTGGTAAATCTTTGCATTAAAATTAAAATTAAAATTTTTGGAGTTTTGCAATAATATTTTAATATCCACTTCATCGCCACTATCATTATTAATTGTCGAATATTGAATTTAATTAAATCGCAAATTATTATTTAAAAAATAAAACAGCTATTTGGTTTCCATAAAACTCAAATATTCTTTTGATAGTCAATTGTTTATTATAATTATTATCTACAGTATCTCGAGATATATTTCAATAGCTTCGTCTGGTGCATAAATATCATCAAAAATACATATAGTAATGAGATTATAATTATAAATGACTAGTTATTTATTTATCTAATGAAAATATTGGTAGCATGAAAATAATAATAGTAGTAGTAGTTGATATATTTACATATTTTCTTTTTGATGTAAAATAAAACTCTAATATCTGCATAATTATTTTTTTCATAAAATAGATGTTTATTTTATCTGTTCTAGTAGAGCTGATAGATTTTAGATCAATGAAGTTTTTTATCTATCAAAAAACAATCCATTATAATTTGTGAAAAAAGAAAAAATTTTTTGTCTCTAAATAAATACTAATTAATAAAAATTAATTAATTGGATTTTGAATCAAATAGATTCATTGTATTTATTTTATTGTTCATCTCTTTTAGTATTAAGGAAAGAAGTTGCATAACAGCACATTATTTAAATTTAATTTTTTTAAAAAAAATAATCAAAAAATTTTCCTCCTTTCTCTTGTCGCTTGTTTTAAAATAATACTTCCCCTTTGTCTTGTCGCGTATTTTCAAATAATACCTCTCCTTTTTCTTGTCGCGTCTTTCCGCCGGCATCTCCAATATCATTGTTTCTTTGCATCGTTATCAACTCTTCATTGTCCTCAATATATTGATTGCATCGTTCAACCAATTGATTTGCCCTGCTATCCTCTGCCCATTCCTTGACTTCTATAACATTATCGGGCCCAATATAACGACTAATCAAAATCTTTTCTTCTAATCTTTCTTTTAACTCATCAATAACATACATATCAGAATATTTTAAAATTCCAAGTAATAATTTCAAGTAATAACTTTCATAATCATCAACTTCTGTCTTTTTTTTCGCAAGCTCGTTGATCAATTCATCTAATGATTGCCCATACAGCCATCTTAAAAGTATTTTAAACCCTTCAGGTTTTATATCCGTCAATTCAACATAAACCTTTTGGAATTCGATTGATTCTTCTGAATCGCCACAAAACATACTTTTGAAGTAATCAGACGCGGCTAAAAATAAAAGAAGTTTATTTATAACTTATAAATTAATATATAATAATAATCATAATAATGAATCTTACCAGATAAAACATATCTATTTGCACCAATTTCTTCCATTTCTTCATCTCCAACTTTAAATATCACATCATGATGACGAGTAGCCGGATGTCCAGCCAAACCATCATCTAACCTTTTTAATAACTTATCTCGTTGAGAATATTCACCAACTTTTACTTTATAATTAATCCCTTTCAATTCTTTTGCACCAGAAGCCTTTAACAATCTTTTGTATGGCTCCAGATTTGGTTTAACTTTGCATAAATTGTTATCAATGTCCCCCGGAATATCAAATACAAGTTGATTTCCACTTTTCCAACTATCTGTAAAGGGATTCTCGCCATTTAAAAATACAGGCTCATCTGTTTGAAAAGTTTCTTGAAGTTCGTCTTCACTTATAGTTTCTAAACAATTATTTAAAAAGGTATATATTTCCTTTATAGATTTTAATATATATTTATCCGCATTTTGTGATATCCAATCTGTGTTACCTTTCCGTGATTCTAATGATAAATAGCACAAATGGTCAAATATTTGTTGGAATTTTGGAAAACCTAATCCCGCAATAAAAAATGAGTCCAGTGGTTCAATACTTCGATCAATCAGACAAACTTGGGTCCAACATAAATCACGATGTCTTTGAAAACATATAGAATTGAGTGATTCATAATATATATCACTTTTTACAGTTTCTTTATATGGGAAATCTAGGTTTCTTGCTACTGGAACAAAGTTAATATTTAAAAAACGATCGAGTTGATCCCTTCTCAGTAAATCTGTATTGTGGTATCGATAAAAATATTCTAAAAGATCTTTAGCCTTTTGTTTAACAACATTAAATGGAGTGTCTCCAGATTGGATATGCCTAACGATTTCCTCGGCACACTCTACTAACGATTCACCATTAACACTATTTCTAAAATCCATTCTTCTTAAAGCCTCCAAACATTCTGAATGATTTTGCAATCTATCAGGCAAAAATCTGTTTGATTCTCTAAAAATTGACCTAAATAATGGCACATTCTCGTTATACAATTCATTTGCTTTACGATATTCGGATAATGTCTTGTTCGGAATTCTTGATTGTTTATATCTGAAATAATCTTCAATATTTAGGTCATTTAACAATAAAATATTTATTAAAAACTCAACATAATCTTGATCTGGTGTGTTTGGAATGTACGGCAATAAATCTCGTGTCAAAAAAATGTAGGAATCCTTTATGATATAAAAAAATCTTTAAATAAAAGAAATAAAACAAAATGAACTCTGATAAGAAACTGACTTACAACAGTACTGGCACCCAATTCAACTAAAATGCTATATTCATGGTCACTTTCTGTCAAAAAATAATTAGTGTCAACCTGGAAAGAAACTTTTTGAAGAGTTTTTGGTAATAATAAACCATCTACAACTGCAACATAATCACGTCGAGTTGATGAATGTACAGGCCAAATTCGCAATTTGTTAAGAATAGGTTTAACTCTTTCTTTTTTTGTTGATCTTCCAACTAAAAATAATAATGATTTTTATTATTAAAATTTCAAAAAAATATATATATATATATATTAATCTTACATAAATTAAAATGTTTTTTGACAAATGATCTTATCACTTCTATGTCTTTGTCAGTCAAATCAGCTTGTGCAAATAATCCTTTAATTCCTAAATGGGATATATCGGCTATATTTTCAATCGCTTTAAGAACATTTGTAAAGCTCCATTCAACAATGAACTGTTGAAGATGTGGATTTGCAATTTTAGGGAAAATCATATCAGTAAAACGAACTTTTAATTTCGTCAGAACTTTAAAGACCAAATCTTCTTCATTATCTATTAATAATAATGGACATGTAGGATTTGGTACGACAAGTTGATGACTTGGGTGGGTCATTGCGAGTAGAGGATATAATTTCAATTTTGAATAATCATAATCGGCAAACATTAATTTTTTCCATATACAGTCAAGCCATTTACGATTTGGTATGGAACTAGATTCCGGATCCCAGTGAAAATCTACACCAGGTAATTCATAGCCTATAAGATCTAAAATCGCATTTGCATCTACTTCATTAATTTTCAATGTTTTTGAGAATTCCGCTTCACGAAAAATCTTTTTGAGTTTACTTGGTAAGTTACTACAAATGAATTTTGAATTGGAATACGCGCTTGGGAATAAATATTTACATTCTCCATTTTGATCGATAAAATATGAACTCTCTCCAAAGTCACCCACATCGTCATTACATAACGGAACCAAAGGTAATTTCAATAATTTTTCATATGATTTTTCCTTCGTAATAAGGATGAAATTTAAAAATTTGAATATCTGTTGATGATTTAATAGATCTTTGTCCACATGTTTTAATGAATCGCAAACCATATCTGCGTCAAAAAGCTGATGATCAAATTTCATTCCAAATCTCGGTTCAAAATTTTTCAACTTTTTCTCTTCCAATTTAACAATTGGAATTCCTATTTGTGTAAAAAGATGTATATCAATATCTTCTTTATCGTCGAAAAGTAATGCTTCTGCAGTGCTGACAAATTTGCCACCATTTGCTTCTGTCCAAAAAATTTTACTATTTTTTGCAATTAATTTTCGTAATACTTTTAAACCATATTGTTTGTATATTGTGTCAATTCTAAAATTAACATCATTATTAATAACAGGCCAAAAATGTGTGGTAGTATAGGCATCAAAATTATTTGGATCATCCTCAAATTCTTTGAATCTTTTATGATCTTCTTTTGCAATATATTCCAATAATTTAACATGTAAAGTAGGCAATATTTTTTGTAAAATATATTGATTCCACTTAAGAATTATTCCTTCAGTATCTCCCGACTGTGTCGATTTATTATCCAATTGTAGAATACTGCTTCGATCATTAGTCACTAAAAATTCACCATTTAAGTGTACATTCAAATTTGTCTTAATTGGAAGTGGCAAATATACGTAAATATCTCCTTTGAGATTCGGTGGTTCCAAATGAATACCATTATGAATTTTATCTAATGGCTTGTCTGCTTGAGCTAAAAGCATTGCAACACCACCTCTAGGTTTCAAACCTTCACTAATCAAAAGATTTTGTAAATCCCTATCCAATGTTTCTGATTCTTCACCATTGCAAATTAACCATTTTTCAGAACTTGTCACAGTATCTTCACATTCATAAACATTACTCTCTATTTCTATACATAGTTCAAAAGGTCTTGCATAATTAATATTGTTAAAGGTACTTCGAATAGATCCCAAATCAATGGGAAGACGTATATTTGCTTTCCAGATTAAAATTGGATTATCAACATCGTCATCATCGTCTGTAATTCTATGCACACTAAAAGATTTAATGTTTTTTAAAAAAAGCATTTCTCGGCTTCCTTCAATTTTAGATAATAATTCAACTATTGAATCAGGTCTTTCTACTTTATTTGATATTTCACTCATATTGGCTAATTCTTGTGTTCTAAACGGGAGTCTGAACAAAGTTCCATCAAATTCATTTGTAAAATCACAATTTTTAATTCCTTTGTATGGTCGTACTTGATCTTGGAAATGAATGTCGAAGCTTTTTTCAAGAAATTTTAATATATTTCCACGCCGACGTATTGGTGGATGGCCTATAGCTGGTAGGAATTTAGTATGTGGATCTAAAAAGGCGATATGTTCACCACTAACGAAACTTGGACAATCTGTAATATGATATGCACAATTGAATCCAAGACCAAATCGTCCTATTTTACTATAATCCTTTTTTTTACCACCAACACCAAGTTTTAAAAATGATTGAAAATCTTCTTTAGTAAATTTCGCATTATTATAAATCCAAAGAGCAGGACCCTGCCAATCGTGCATTTCTGGCGATAATAGTTTTGAATTGTTTCCGGGATTCCTTAGATTCCTTGACCTGAAATCACGATCATCCACAAAAATACAAAATTCAGTTGCTTTTGCATCATCAGCATTCTAATAATAAATAATAATTAGTAGTAGTATAATAATAATAATAATAATAATGGTTAATAAAAACCTGTAAAAACTCTTTAAATAAAAGATCAATTCTACAGACCAGACCAAGTAATCTTGAATTTGCCAAAAAAATTACAAAATCGT